AGACCATGTGGCAAATATCTTGGGCTAGAACAGCGAGTCTCTGCCTTGGCAGACATCAGATTCACCTGGGAACTTCCAGCACTACCTGTGCTCAGGACCTTTACAAGCTCCCCCTGGGTGATTCCCACCGGCAGCAAATTCTGAGAATGATTCTCATTGCTGATGGCAGAGTGGAATGACTTACGGCTTTAAACATCTACTGATGGCCTGGACATATAGTCAGGGACTCTGATTTAATGAGCCTGGGGTTGGGAACAGCGGCCTATACCTGGTGTCCACGCTAAAGAATAGCGCTAAATGGCCACAGTCTCAGTGGGAGGAAACGTTTCATTCCAGCAGCGGCTAAGAGCACATTCACCTGGGGCTTCTCTAGAGTTAGCCTTTCCTGTCCCTTTCTGGCTGATGTCCAACAACGGTCTGATCTTGGGTAAACGTCTCCACCTCTCTGATTAACTTCTTTATTAAATTATGCCAAGAACTACCTGGCAGAACTGCTATGAGCATCACATAATAAAAAGGTATATAAAATATTCATAAAAGAACACAGGACCGTGCCTGATATATACTTGGTACACTGAAGGTGCTCACCAGGTCCCTGATATGATTTCTTTCTGTGCAGCGGAGGGGGAGATACAAAGATAAATGCAGAGATAATCTCTGTCTTCGGGGAACTGGCATGCACAGACAGGAAAATATAGAACCAAATACAGTTCTGTGCATCTAACACATCTATTTCTATATTTATCTATATTTCAAATATAGACCCAAATGAAGTAAATGTTAATCAGAGATAAAAATCAATATTCGGTGGGAGCTCAGAGCAAGGAAGAATAACAGTCCCTGGGGTGATCAGGGAAACCTGGGGTGGCACTTGAACTGGGTTTCTGCAAAGGTGTGTTGTTTCCCCACAGGTGAGGAAGAACGGGGAAGAGCTGGGAGGTGACAGGGACTGAGGCTGGAAGGCTGAGGCACGGTCAGCAGACCTCTGTTGAGAATCCATTGAGAAAGGCTTTGCCTGCTTTACTAAGGAATTTGAACCTTTAACCTGAAAACAACTGGGGGCCATTGGAAGTCTGAGCGTTGGGACATGTTCTCCAGTTGGAGGTTTTGGTTCACTGATCCTAGGGCTGGGATGGGAATGGGTTGGAAACGTCTTGGTTTCCACATGATGCTCCATCTCTTCTTCCCCACCCTGGCCTGTGGCCAAAGCCTCAGAGACCCTAGGAAGAGCAGCTCAGGAAATGTCCCTGGGCCCTGCTTCCTGATGTCCACTGCAGGTGTGGCACGCAGGCTGTGCTCCTGTGCTGCTCCTGGAGTCTCTCCGCCGAGGCGATTGGAGCGCTGCCCCTTTGGATGATGTCCTCTGCTTTGCGTTTTGGAGTCTTCCCTGGAAATGTCTCAGCTCTTCACCCCTTCCCCTGTCCAGCTTAAAATTTCTCCAACCTCTTTTAAGAATGGGCTTAAATTGCCCTTATCTGAGAGCAGAGGTTGAGTATTTTTGTGCTCTTGGGGTCTTTCACTTATGAGGGATGGATATTGCTACAGTGCAGGCCCGAGATGATGAGGGTGGGTGTGAGGGCTTGTCACGTGGCTGCCGGGTCTGGCGAGGGAGCACCGCATGGGAGAGGCACCATGAACTTAAAACTGACAGGACTGTAATTTGCCTATAACTTAATTGTGAACCAAGCTTATCTTTCTGAACTTCTGGTCTCCTAACTCATAGCTGTTTTCATTTGTTCATAGTGATCTGAAGTCTCGGCAACGTTATAATCTGAGTAATTAGGAATGATGACTCGGGGTGGGTTGGGGAAGCTTGGTGTCAAGTCATCACTTCAAATACGAATGCTTCTGTTAGTTAAAAAGCAAGATTTTTTTATTGCCACTCTGGACCTGTTACTTGAAGACCTGGGGAAGGAGAAAGCAGCTGGGGAACATTCTGAGACTACCCCAGATAGTAACTATGTGCAGAGGTTGGGATGTGATCTGAAAAGGCAGGACCTGCTGGATAGCGCTGGCCCCGTGCCTCCCACGAACCCATCACGCAGGTGAGCCCTCCTCAGTGGTCCATCAGTCGAGGATGCGGTTCCCAACTTTGGTGCATATAGGAATCACCTGGGACCTTTATAAAACACTGACACTTGGCTGCCACCCCAACATTCTTCTCTTTGTTAGTATTTTGTTGTATATGCTATTACAGTTGTCCCCATTTTTCCCCTTTGCCCCCATCCACCCAGCCCACCCTCCGCTCCCACAGTCCATCCTCACACCATTGTCCATGCCCATGTATTGTCTGTCCAACATCATCCTGACTTCGGTGGTATGCAGTACAGCCTGGGCACTGGACAAAGGTTGGGAACCTGGAACAGGAACGAGCATTTCACTGACAGTGGTTCTCATACCTGAATGTACCTCAGAATCGCCTGGGGGACTTGCTGATACACAGGTGGCTGGGCTCCACCCCGGGAGATTCAGTGCAGGTCTGCAGTGTACCCAGCTGCATTTCTACCCAGTTCCCCAGTGATGCTGACAGTCAGGGCCACACTTCAAGAACCATTGGCTAAAAAGAGCTGGGCCTGGCTCTACTACTTGGGAGCTATGTGATCCCAAGCCTGTCACCCAATCTTAAGTCCAGTTCCTTTATTTGTAGCATGGAACAGCAAAGGTGATTACCCCCTGGGTCACTGTGTGGGTGAAAGGAGATGACATTTGTGAGTTGCTCAGCACAGGGTTTGACCCATAGGGAATGTGCAACCCACGGTGGACTTTATTAGTGCATTTCCTCTGCTGGTATCTTGGCAGATCTGTCCTTGTGTTAAATAGAGCTAGTCAGTGAATGATGTTAAGGTGAATTTCTGCTCCTGAAGGCACTACCTGCAGGCATTACAGAAAAGGGACTGGGATACTCTCATGAACTACGAGTGCCCCGGGGTCCAGCAGGATAAGGGAGCAACTGAGGAAAGGGCATGGCCTCTGTTAACTGACGATCATCACTAGACTCTTCACTTGGTGTGGGTGGCTGTGGGCTGTGATGGAGTGTGCTCTCCTGCCCAAACTCCATGCTACTCTCACATTCCAGACACATTTAGTGCAGTGACTTGTGGTTGTCCTGATGTTGCCTTGGAAACCGAACTGCTACCAAGGGAGGTGGGAACAAGGCCCTAAATTGTCTTGGAAACCACAAAATGTGTCTTTGAGAGGGGGGCTGTGCATCTCCACACACTGTCTTCTTTTTCTCATGCAATTTGCTTAGAACTCTCTTCTGTGTGCAGTTACTTCCCTCCCCCATCGTGCTGAGGAGGGAACTGAGGATTGGTGTGTATGCTTCTGCACCATCTAATTATCCTTCCCAGGGAAAGGGATGGATGCCCATGTGGGCCTGTGACTATACAGGCAAAACCAGCCGTCTGCACACACCACAGAGCCCGGCGACACTGCAGCCTGTCCCTCCCGAGCACCATGAACTTGAAATGTATGAATGTGTTTTTCTTCCTTGATGGCCTTGCCAAGTCTCAGGGTATTTGGGGTGCTTTTAGAACTTCCTTTTTAGAATAGTACAAATCTATGCAATCTTTTTTGTTTCCACATGATTTGAGGGCAACGTGCCTTATTTCCATGTAATAGTTTGGGAAATCTGGTGAGTGGGGAGAAGCATTTGGGGTTGGCCTAGGAGTGGGGAAATGGGCCGGTTCGCTTCATGTCGAGTTCTGTTTAGCCAGAGTGAACTTCTGCCTATTCCCAGGGACCCCAGGGGTGGAGCCTGAGTTATCCTCTGTTCTCCATGGACTGAGAACTGAAGGAGAGACAGAGTTGGGGAATGACAGAGTAGAGAGGCTATAGGAGGTCATGTCCAAGTCATTTCTAGATAAGAGCACTGTCCCAGGTCACAGAGGATGCTGGTAAAAGAACAGAGCCCATAAACCCAGCCCTCTGTCTGCCTTCCATCCTCCCCAGAGTATTCCTCTCTGCCTGGACACACCTAAGGCATTTATCTGTGTGCTGTCTGCTGTACCCTATTGTTCTCATTGGATGTTAATTTGATTCCCCTGTTGTGTGGGTGCTAACCTCTCCCTGTAGAGCGAGGTGTGGTATGGTCCAGATAACCTCTGACAGGCCATACATATGGTCTGTAGACACCATTCATAGAACATTCATTGCAGGTCTTGTGTAAGCCTCTTTAAGCAGCTATAAGCATTTAGGCCCCACAAGGAATGTAGGCAGTTATTAGTATCCCAAATAGAGATCAGAGAAGTTAAGCAACTTGCCTAGGATCACACAGCAAGCAGGCAAGTGGCAGAGTGAAGCTTTAAATCCAGGTCTGTTTGATTTACCATCAATGTTTTTCAGCCACTATATTATATGGCTGCCAGGCAAAGGAGGATTCTGACTCAGAGAGGAAGCAGCAAGCCACACAAAGGAAGACTGCCACCTGCCCACCTTAAATCTTTGCCAACAGATTTGGTTTTCTAGAAAAATATGATTGCTCAGTAATAGGTGCGTATGTCATCATGGCTAAGCCCATCATCTAACATTGGTGCAAAAAGTAAAAAAAACAAACAAACCCCAACTCAGTGTATTATTTCAGATATGAACTTTCTGGCTGTTCATTTGTTTTGATTTTTTTTCTATCACCAAAGTTACTTGGCTGAAGTTTCCCATATGTTGGTGAGTGTTCCCATTTGCACAGACCCTACATGCTGGTGCTTTCCCTCTTGTGATAAAAAGGAGAGATGCAAGTTATTTTTAATTCAGCCACCACACAAACATCCATGTCTCCCCTTCCAGCAGCTAAGCCTATATGTCTTCTCAACAGGGTATTAATTACCTGGCTCTGGGAATGACAGGATGGGCCGTTCCCGTGGCTCCAGCTGCCCTGCCGGCCACAAGGAGATTGCCTGTGGACACAGCAGGTCTCAGAGGCTTCCCCAGGGAGCGTCTGTCTCATCAATAAACTCAGACGTGGGTACCGGGTAACTTGTTAAACACATTTATTGATTTCTTGACAGTAACCAAACACAGTGAGTGACCATTATAAACAAGAAAAGAAAGGCATTCGTTTGTACTTTGTGAGATCCAGCTGCACCTGGAGAGAAAAGACACCCCTTTCCCAGGAATTTACAAGGCAAAGTGCATTCCTTCAAGGGAGCATCACAGGGGAGGGATGGCAGTTTCAAAACGCAAGGGATCTGTCGCCTGCTGTCTCAGGCTGAAGCTCACCTCGGATGAATGATTGAGCCATGGAGTGGAGTTAAAGTTATACTTGCTTAGCAAATGCATTCCTGATTGCCACAAACTCAGTAGAAACCGGCTGCAAATGAACAAAACATGAAGATGAAGGAACAAGTGAAATCAAAGAATGCAGTTGCATGGAGCCAGGGCTTAGCCTGTAAGGAAGTAGAACAGATCAAAGCCAGAAAAATAAAATTAACCCGTTAAACACATTTATTGAGCTGTTAACAATAACCAAACACAATGTATGACCTTTGGAAAACAAGAAACAGCAAATGGATCAATTGTGATCTTGGCAAATCCTACTAGAGATATGTGACAAAGGGGAAATAATTCAATCTCTTTATAGTCTGCGATGATATATATATACAATGCGTATCTCTTCAATGTCGGTCCTTTTTTTTTTCTTTTTAAATTGTCGAGTAAACAGAAGAATGATAATCTAGAAATCAGTGTCCTTGGCCAACTTTGTCCTGGTTCACCTGCCGCCAGCACCCTCCAAGCATCCTAGGACACTAGCTGAGATTCCTCGATGCAAAGGACCAAGTCTGCTTGATGCTGCTGAAGCTGTGTGTTCTCCCCTCTCTTTTGGAAGAAGTTTTGTATGTACAAAGGCTGAAAGTCTTATTGGGTAGATTTATTAGTTCAGGAAAGCAGTATCAAAATTGTAATCAGGTTAACTGGTTATTTTTCTTCTAAGACCTTTGATGAATGAGCCTTTAATTTCTGAAAACTTGACTTCCCATCTTGGAGGCTGTGTGAGTGTGTATGTATGTATGTAGATATGTTTATGTGTGCATGTGTGTGTATCCTCTGCCATGGTTTTTCAGATCTTTTCGTGAAGGAAGGGCCAATCCAAAGAGTGAATGAGGCTTGAGAAGGGGAAGGAAAGAGAAGAAAGAAGGGGACATTCTAGGTTATGTCAATTCACAGTTGTAGCATTTCACTGAGATGGAATTCTTCTTGGCCTCATTCCCTACTTGAGGAGCCATTCATTTACTGGAAAGACAGAGAAAGAAAAACACACAAACACACAACATAAAACAAGGCATAATTGAATTAATTTGCACAGAGTTTGGGGAAATTACTCCAAAGGGGAAGGAACAGTTCTCTAAGTGCGGGCTCACTTGTAAGTATCCTGACAACCCCTTCGCTTCCTCATGAACTTCTAGGCTTGAACTGTTCAATATTGTTGTCACCAGTCACATGTAGCTACCATACATTTAAATTAGTTAAAATTAAATAAAAAATTTAGTGGCCTCACTGTACTAGCCATCCTTCAGATATTCAACTGCCACATGTGGCTAGTAGCTACCATATTGAACAATGCACATATAGAACATTTTTATCATCACAGAAAGTTTTGCTCTAGACCGGGGGGGGGGGTGGGCATGTGACAGCCTACAGGCCAAATCCAGCCTGTGATCTGATTTTGTAAATAAAGTTTTATTGGAACATAGCCACACCATTCATTGACATGTTATGGATGGCCTCTTCCACACTATAACATCAGAGTATGGCAGAGGCTGTGTGACTCATAAAACCTACAATATTTACCATCTGGCCCTTTACAGAAAACGTTTGCTGACTGTGAGTGCTGTATGCATGGGGTCATATCTGTCTCCATCACACTGTATCCTCATCACCTAGCTAAGTGCCTGGAACATAGTAGATATGCAATGAAAAGGCGTTGAATGCAGAGAAGGCTCAGTCAATGAGTTGAGTATTTATTTGTCTGGTAGTTCTGGTTGGGAGGGAACAGAAAATTATCCTTTTGACACTCTGCGTGTGTCAGAGAAAGAAAAAGGAGAGAGGGAATTGTGGGGGAAGTAGAAGAAATGAAGTGGTAGGGGGCAAAGGGCAGTGGTAGCAGCTGCTTCTAAAAGCTGCTTGGTAGCCCCTCCAGCCCCCGTGTTGTTTAAGCTACAATGGACTTCACTGTCCAGGCTCTCATTCATTCCTCACAACAAGTGGTGACATAGATGGTGCTGGGACTGTCAGGAAAGACGTGAGGCCCACAGGGTACATACCCGCTGGGTTTGCCCGGTTTGTTAGTGTGGAACCAGGGTGGGAACTTGGGTATCCTGACTCTGGGCTGAGGGCATCTCCACGACACTGTGCTGCCTCCATCTTCCTTCCCGTGTTGACATTTTACCACCGTGATCAACAGATACTTAGAGTACAGGAGGGAAGAGAGAGGGCTGGCTGCGGGCCAGAGGGTTGCAGGAGGCGGAAGTCTTTTGAATGTCCATAGGGGATATTCAAATAGGAATGTCCACAGTAGGAATGTCAAGTAGGAATAACTGTCACTTCTATGGACATAGCCCTGGAAAAGGATACATTCACATATATCACCTCCTTGTACCCCAATGGCCTAGCATCCAGACTATTTGCTCATCTAGGGAAAAGGGGTCCCTCATGTGCCTAAGTAAAAGCTCTCATGCTTCTAGCTATCCTGTTCTAGCATATAATCTTGAAAACATCAGCCTCTCTAGACTCTTCTGCACAATGGCAACAAAAAGGGATGTAAAGTTTGATCTCTATCTCTCATATACAGACTTTACAACAGAACATCCCCATGCACATGGAAGGTGGTGGTCTTAATTATCCATTATAATCATGATTCCTATAATGGCACATAATGCCAGGCCTTTAAGAACAGGAGGACTGAGCTGTGGCCTGGGCCCATGGCCCTCTGAGCCACGCACCCACCTCTATACTGAAGCTTCTGGGCCCGGTTGTTTGGGCAGTCCTTCCCCTGTAAACTGAAGTTGATGTTGGTGCGGATACAGCGGTTGTTGAGTGGCTGGACAGGCCTGAAGTTGTCACTCATGCTCAGAAAGATCTGAGAGGGCTGATTCTGGCTGAGCAGGCGTAAGGAATGCATCTGAGGAGAGAGAAACAGCTGTGAGGCCCACCCATCCTCTTAGATGGACCAGGAGAGAAGTGTGACAGCAGAGACTGGCCAAGCCAGGCTGCCCGCGAAAGGGCACGTGAGCCCCTCAGGGGCCCTTGTGGTGTGGGTCCAGTTGTGCTGCCGTGTGTGGGCTCAGACTTGCTTCTAGCTCTGTAGTTCAGAGATGCCTCTGAACAAGTTAATTACTCTGCTCTATCCTCAAACATACCATCTGCCGAAGGAGGAAATCCAACTAGGTGTTCTCCAGGGTCTCTTTCTCTTACACCTCATGGCTCAATAATTCCCAGCAATTCAGGGAATTATTCCCTGACATGGGTATTATCCAAACTGTAGTGATTGGTCTAGAGGTCAGAGCGAAACTAAGTTGGATTTGTTTGGTTCCTTTGCTGTGAAATCAGGACCAGGAGCTGCACTGAAATATTTGCAGGTTCCACCCTGAGACTGAGAAGGGGAAGGAGAGTCTCTAGCAACAGAGGAGAATGAAGTGAATGGGCAGTAGGAAGCAGAAGACAGCAGAAAGAAAAGGCATCTGGGGTTCTGGTTCCAGCGAATTCCCGACACCAATTTCTGATCTTAATTTCCTTAACATGCTCAGTATCTCTTGAACAAATCCTTTTTCTGAGTTTAAGTTATCTGGAGGGGGCTGCTTGTCACCAAAAGTCCTGACCAATATAGATAGGACCAGGGACTTGTTCACGTTGTTGTTGGGTTGTAAGTACAGTTGACCCTTGAGCAATGTGAGGGGTCAGGGGCACCAGCCCCATATGCAGTTGAAAATCTGCGTATAAGTTTTCACTCCCCCAAATACTTAGTTATTCCTTGGTATCTGTTGGGGATTGGTTATAAGGCCTCCTGAAGATACCAAAATCCACAAAAGCTCAAGTTCCCTGTATAAAATGGCATAAGAATAATGTATAGCGTCCTCCACATCTGTGGACTCCCAACCACAGATTGAAAATAGTACAGGTATTTATTGAAAAACATACGTGTATAAGTGGACCCGTGAAGTTCAGACCTGAGTTGTTCAAGGGTCAATCATATATATCCTGTAAAGGAAAATGGATTCTGCTTCCTTTGCCCATCTCCCCTCTGAGGTTTTATAGAGTCTCAGAATTATAGCACGTCAGAGCTGATACCCCCTCGTCGTGAAGAGCGGTACTGGTTTCACAGAAGGGGGTTGACAGCCCTGAGAGCACATAATGAGCCATTACCAAAGCTGGCCTCAGAGGCCAGATCTCCTGGTTCCCATCCAAGGCTGAGGAATCCAAGCCAGCTTTACGAGAAATACCATGAGATGCTCTAAAAAAATTCCACATTCAAATATGTCTGTGAAAGGCTACTTATCATATTGCCTCTTTTTGGACACTGACATAATTATTATCATTTTAAAGGCCCTGGAAAGTCTCCCAACAATGAAATCTATTTAATTCTTTTTTTTAATTCAGCTTTTTCAAACATATCTGGCCAACACGTACTTTGCTCATCTGCTTTCTGAACACTATCACTGTAGAACACTTTGGGAACTAACCCTGTTTTTCCTTATCACTCAGCTAGGTCAATGCTTCAACAATTAATTCATGCTAAACCTTTCAGGTGTTGATTCTTTTTTAAAAAACGATTTTATTTGTTTATTTTTAGAGAGAGGGGAAAGGAGTGAGAGAAACATCAATGTGTGGCTGCCTCTCTTGTGCCCCCTGCACTGGGGACTGGCTCGCTACCCAGGCCTATGCCCTAGACTGGGAATCAAACCAGCAACCCTTTGGTTTGCAGGCTGGCACTCAATGCACTGAATCACACCAGCCAGGGCCAGATGCTGATTATTTAAACATAGGTGTGATGAATTGAATTTGGTATCCCCCCAAATTTATAAGTTAAAGCCCTAATTCCCAGTACCTCAGGATGCGACCTTATTTGGAAGTAATGTCATTATAGATGCAATTAGCTAAAATGAGGTTATTGGGGGTAGGCCTTAATCCAATATGACTGGTGCCCTTATAAAAAGGGGGATTTGGACAAAGGGACCCAGGCATAGGGAGAACACTGTGTGAAGATGAAGGCAGAGTGAAGGTGATACTTCTACAAGGCAAGTAACACCAAAGGTTGCCAGAAACCAGAGAGGCGTGAAAAAAATTCTTCCTTACTCCCTCAGAAGGAACCAACCCTGCTGACACTTTGATCTCAGATTTACAGGCTCTAGAACTGTGAGACAATACATTTCTGCTATTTAGGCCACTGAGTGTGTGGTTCTTTATTAAAGTAGTCCTAGTAAACACATACAATAGGTATTTCACAAACAGCCAGTTTTCACATCATCTTCCCCATTCGCTAACAGACCACAGAGAAGCTCACCTGCATCCTTGTTATATAGACAGGTTTGTTCATTATTATCCAACTTGCCGTCTCATAGCAGGGTGGGATAGTCATGGATCCGTCATAAGTAATGAAACTAGTGGTCTCTGGATAGAGTTCCTCTATATTAAGTCCCTGTAGTAAATATGCATCATCTAGAAAAGGAAATAAGAAAGACTTAAGAATTAGGTTTCTTGAGAAAGTGTTGCTATTGCTGATTTTTTTTCTTTTCTGATTCCAGAAGACCGTATCTGTTAGGATAGGCTGCAGAAACGAACAGTCCCCCAAACCTCAATCATTTTAAACAATGAAGGATGTTTTGCTCATGTATATGTCCATTCTAGGTTGGCTGAGGGCTTCCTCCATGTCATTGTTGTCCACCCTTTGGGACCCAGGCTTTCAGAACAGCTGCTATCTGGACCCTTGTGGGTTGCAATGATAGGAGGAGATGCGCCCATCCCAGAAGTGGCACATGCGACTCCTGTGCACATATTGGTGGGCAAAAAGTCACATGCCCAGTTGACATCAGAGATGTGAGGGAGCACATTCTTCCTACAGGATGGGACACTGAATATGGGTGAACAGAATTGTGGGCTACGACAAGGACACAAGGAAGAGCCAAATATTTGGTTATGGTTCCTGAGACCTGGGACCACAGGATTATAGTCATAAAGAAATGCACAACTGAAGCCTTTAGGATCTGTGGAAACGTTGCCTGGTTGCCATTCTTGTTTATAAACACTGCTTAATTAAAAGAACATTAAGAAACACTTTTAGAAAGAAATCAGGCCAAATCCTATCATGAGACTCAAAAGTTAAGTTCAACATCTGAGGGCATGTTTGTAGGTCTCCTCTCTGTCGGGGTCCATGCAGGTAGACTTTTCTCTTACACCAATTTGAAGTATTCACACTCATAAATATTTTATTACTAAATATAGGTTTTTCAGTTACAAAAGTGTTATAAATATTTATCAGAACATATGGAAAGAAGAGAGAAAAAACAATGACCCCAATTATCTAAAACAATTGACGTTAACCTTTTTTGAATTTCTTTCTGAATTTTTCATTCAGTGCATTGGTTGCATTTTTAGAAAACTATAATGCATCAGAGTTTTAAAGTCTCAGTAAAGTGCAACGAACCTCTCTCACTCCACTCTCCTCTTTTCCCTACAATCCTTTTTTGCACACTTTTGCTCTCTTCCCCTGGTTTCTAAAGCACCATACTTACTGTCCCTATTTTTCTGGCCATTCTGTCTTAGATTCTGTTGCTGGATCCTGATTTTCTTCTACCTGTTTCTCAATGGTGGCATTTTATAAGGCTCAGTCCAAGGCTCTGTTTTTTTTTTTTAACTCCATACACTCCTCATAGGGTAGCCCAAGTACATCCATGGCTTCCACAGCCCTCTGTACCTCAGTGACTCTAGCAGTCTTGCACCTCCCAGTTTGCCATGAGGGTCGATCACTATGGTCCATCTGGGAGGTCTGGAGGGCACATAGCAAGACCCAAAGCCTGGCTAATTGAGGGATGAGGGTGGCTCCTCCAGGCCTCCTCAATTCATGTGTTGTTTCTCATTCACATGTTCAACTCCCAGAGGGAAAGAACTAACTCTTCAGTGGCTGATATAATCTCTCAAGTTTAGTAATATGTATATATGATGGTAGTAAAGGACTTTCACATACAGCTGGAACCTCACACTGACCTAGCAAGACTTTTCAGGCAGATAATAATATCTTCATTGACAAGAAATTGAAGATGAGAGAGGCAAAGTAACCTGCCTGAGGTCACAGCGCTAGCTGGTAACTGCAGAGGTGGAACTGAAACCTGGATCTTCTGACCTCCAGACCAAAGTCATTCATTCACTCATTCAACAAGTATTCAGTAAGTACCTGTTTGTGCTGGGCACAGGGTTAGGCTCTGGGGATAGTGCAGTAAACAAGATAGATGCCCTCTTTCTAGTTGAAGAGACAGACAGCAGGTGACAAAATAAATATATGTAGACTCTAATATCAGGTGGTGATAAGTGCACCTTGTCTTACCTGCACCTTCCTACTGATCCTGAGCATTAAAGCTCAGAATTCATTTTCCTGGGAAAAGGCCCCCTTCCTTCCCCTCCTGGGCTCTGACTACCCCAGTGGGGTAACTGAACCTCTCCAGGGCTCTGTCCAAATGCCCATGAGAGAAAGAGGTTGGTCAAGTTGGATTTGGAGACCAACTCTAGGAAAAAGGACTTCTTTACTCTTTCCATTTAAATGTTCCTGCCTTTCCATCACAACACCAGAGAATCAGGACAAGTTCAAGAGAGACATGGCTGGGCTGGGTCTGCACTCTGGGTCATGCAGTCGGATGCCTCTATGACAGAGCCATGATGCCCAGAGCACACACTGACATCATGGACCTTGTCAGTTGGATCAGGTGCCAACACAACAAGCTCCCGTCGAGTATCCATCATTTGGCTCTGTTTCTTAAGCCCCTTGTATGTGTCAGGTACTGAGCTAGGTATTGGAGAGCAGGACGTAATTAAGTGAAGGCATCAAGGAGCAGCAGAGACATGTGTATCTGCACTGAGTACATTGAGAAGCTGTCAGTACTGCCTGGGGGTGGGACTCAGGAGAGGATTAACTGAGGAGCTGCCCCGAACTGCACCTTGAACGACAGGAGCTAATCACTGTGTGGCTTGCAGGCAGGTGGCTGTCAAGGGCACGGTAGACAGTCACGCTAGAGAAAGAGTAAGGACATGCAGAGGGGTGTGTAGCCGGGGATAGCCAGAGTGTGGATGGGAATCAGGGGAGGGCTGTTGTGAGAAAAGAGACTGGAGGGTCAGCAGGGGCTGTGCCCAGAAGGTCCTTCTCTGTGCTGCTGGGAGTTTGGGCTCCATCCTGCAGGCAATGCAGAGCCACTGAAGGGTTTTATGCAGGGGAGTGGCGTGATCAGATTTGCACTTAATGATGCTTGCTCTGATGGTGCTTTGGCCTGAAGATTAACATATTGAATGAGAGAAGGAAGCATTTGGCACATCTTTATTAAAGGTCAATGTGATTTGTTTAACCAAGCTTGCACGCGGAGCATATTGGGTACTCTAGCATGCTGCCGTTATTGCATTTTATTTTATTTGGGGTGGTGGGAAGGAGGGAAGGACAGAGGCAACAGAATGAGGGACATTCTAGGCATGACTGGAGGAAAGAAAAAGAACATTTCTATTTCACTGAACCTATAACTAGCCTCTGTGTTGCATCCACATTTGAGGAAAGGATCAATGTGTGTGTGGGGGCAGGCTAGGAGCAAGAAGCAAAAGGAGGCATGTTCATGGATTTAACCCACACAGCAAGGTAACAACACGCTTCCAAAACACTGTTGTGCTGATGGTACCGAGACCACCCACTGTGGTCCTGCTGGGAGATTCCTTTTTGTCCACATCCCCTTTGAGAGATGTAATACTCGTCAGAGAAGGCGGGCAGCTTTCTCCCTCTCACAGTCCTCATTCACTAACTTTGTTCTTTTCGTGAATCTCACTAATGCACACACACCACCTTTTGCCCTATTTAGTTTCTCACACTGCAGAGCTTGGAAAGACCCAGTGTGAAGAACGTGAGCTCTGGACTCAGACCTGAGTGTGAGGGATGATTTTGCTGCTCACCATCCAGGTGGCCATGGACATGCAGGTAACTGTATGAGCTTCAGTTTCCACACCTGCAGTATGCAGATGGTTGGAGTGGGCAGTGGACTGAATGTTTGTGTTCCATCAAAATTCATATGTTGAAATCCTACATCCCATTGTGATGGTATTTGGAGGTGAGGCTTTTGGCGGGTAATTTGGTCATGAGGGTGGAGCCCTCATGAATAGGATTAGTGCCCTTATAAAAGCAATTCCAGAGAGCTCTTTCACCCTCTTTCTGCCATGTGAGGGTACAAGAATTCTGCAACCCAGAAGAGAGTTCTCACCCAATTCCAAACAGGCTGGCACCCTACTCTTGGACTCTTGGCCTCCAGAGCTGTGAGAAGTAAATTTCCATGGTTTAGAAGATAGTTTGTCATAGCACCTGAGACTGCCTAAGAGAGGATTTGCCTCACAGAGTTGTCTGAGGAAAAAATGAAAGCAAGCTTTTCAAGTACCTGACACAGGACCTGGTCCACAGTAAGTACTCAGCAATGCTGGGTAACAAAGGTGTCACTCCTTCCTTTCTGGGGTGTCCTTGCCCACCTTCCCAGGATAACCACTGCTTGACCTCCCCGAGGTCTCCTCGCTTTTCCCAGCTGGGGTAGTGCCTTCCCTTCGTGCCATATTTACTGAATTAGCTTGCTAATAGTTACTTACTATTTTGAATGTCCCCACTAAGCTGTGAACCTTTGGGAGAAGGGCTTCCATCTTTTATCTCTAATCCCCAAGGCCCGGCATGCGGTCCACTGCATTTCGGGTACTCAGGAAACATCAGTTGAATTATGCCCAGCAGCTCCACCTGCTCGCAGTGCTGAGCATAAACTAAGGGAGGAAGATGCAACATCGAAATTCTCTGAAGCTCCTGTCTGTGCTACTAACGTATGTGCTGCCCAGCCCCCTCCCCCACATGTATCACATCCTAAGATATCAGGGTGAGACTGAGACTCCACATGGCATTACCGTGTTTCCACACCAAACATGTCTGAACCCTGGAATTTACATTGCTAATTTTGGTGTGTATTTAACATGTAACACTTGTCCACTTGACTCACCACTTTGCCTCAAAGATTGCCAGTAAATTGGTGTTCTCTCTTTTAGGAATTGGAATTTGAGAACTACAGGTTACCCTTTTGCCTCTTCTTTTCTCCCCATGGAGCCCTACTTGGGGCATTTGGCAGGACACAGGCAGTGGAACCCAAAAGGAAGATGAGCAAATGCAGAAGTCTTCAGCACTAGTGTCAAGGAACTCTGGGGCATCTTCCGCAGCTGACCAGGCCAGGAACTCATTAGTGTTACCCACAGACCGCCTTGTTCATGCAGCAGCCAGCAGACAAAACCAGTCTGTGCATGCTAGTGTTATCCTCCGGGCGCTGCAGCCAAGGGAGCCTAAGAACTAATGTGCTGGGAAGTGGATTCTGGTTCTCAAACTCTCGTGGCTCTGTTCATTAGTAAGAGTGGAGCAGGTCTAGAGCTATTTATGAGCAGAGAGACACAAGTGT